GTTCAAAAATTCAATAAAAAATTTGACGATCAATTTCTAGATCTGATGTTTGTGTATCTAATTATTCTAGAATAATCGGTTACATAATAGACCAAATATGAAAATAATCCCGACTGTAGTAGAGATTATAGAAGCTATATATATGTCTTTTAAGTTTTTATTACTATATATATAGAAAAATTAATAATAATGTTCATAGTACATATTAACTTGTAATACTAGTAGCAAAGTACAAACTATCTCTTAAATAATAAAAAGAAAATTGCTTAAAAAAGAAAAATAAAAAGAAAAAATAAAATATTATAATATTAAGAAAGTTTTAATTTTATTAATAATTAATAATAATTCTCATATTTGATATCAAAAAAATTTTTAATTTTAAAACAAATTAATAGAAACTCTCTCTATAGATCACTTTTACTAAATTGGAACAAGAAGAAAAAATTTTCTTGCAACATTATCTTGAAAACTTACTAAGTAAATTGATATTTGGCTTCTAAGTAAAGTTATTCAGCATCTATAAAAATACTTAAAAAAGGTACATTTTTCAAGAAAAGCTTTTACTCTATTAAGTTAGTAGCAATAAACATTTTAAATAGCAAAAAACTAGTTTTTTGACCTCTCGCAAAAGCGGTTCTAAAGATCCTCAAAATTCAAGCAGCTTAGAACAAAGTACTATCAATCTTTTACACAAAAACATCAAAAAATACCAAACAATCACCTTACCAAGCTCCAGCTCTCTCTTGAAAACATGACTTCAGAAAGCTTTTTTGGCTTTTTTGGCTATTTTTCTACATCTTGCAAATTTGCATAACCAGAAGCTACCTCTGCTATTATCTAGCCACCAGTTTCAAAAATAGAACACACAAAAAATTTTGTCAAAATCACTATCAAAGACTGGTCCAAACCCTTTTTTACTGTTAGCTTCTTTATCCCAGAGCACGCCAGTAACTTCTTCTTCTATACTAATATTACCAAATTTGGCAAGATTCCAAATTTAGTTAACTACCCACCACAATAGATACTTAATCAATTCTCTTTGATCTCACTATACAGAAAAACAACATTGTAAATATTAGCACCAAACATCTTAAATCTACTTACAATTGTGACTTTACAACTATTACAAATATTTACGAAAGTAACATGAAACCTTACACAAAGGCAAAAAGCATTGCTAACCTGTCTAAAATTCTATATAATACTATTAAACAAATAGAATCTGACAATAAATTAAACAAAAGTAATATGGAAGATATTACATACTCTGCTACCCTTTATATATCGGTACACACTCCTACAGATACAACTGAGCTCTCTACAAACACTACAAAGAATACAAACAAAAACACTAACACTCTTGTAGAAGCAAATACAACTACACCTACTCTGGTTGCAACTAGTATAGCTATTACTAGCAGTTTCACTACTAGCTATATAGAAAAACCTATTCTAGTTAGACCTAGCACTCCCACCAACCAAATTACTTTAGCAGCAAATATAGCAATCAGCTCTAATACCACAAACCCAGCTATTACAACTAGTGCTAATACTAATCGCAAAAGATCTAAAAACAATGTATCTCTACTTATTATAGCCCCAAACAAGGCCTCTAAATCTGTATCTGGCAGTACTTTTAGATCTCTTTCCAATACCTAGCCTATCTTTCCCAAACCTACATATAGCCAAGTCATTCAAATCAGTCTTAAGCTTCTTGTTACCAATACCCAGATAATATAGAATAGGCTATAATTGTCTATAACAAGATTATAGCTCCTACTATTATACCATTCAACACTGACTTATAGACATATAACAGGATCACTACAGCTCTTAAGACTTCTGCAGAAATGCATAGCTTCATTAGCTACAAACTAACTACATCTCATACTATATTTAAACTTCCAGATACAATTGTATTTAAATTCAACCACTTTGATATCAGATTCTTTACTATATTTATCTGCAACCTCAAAACCACACCTGTATACTAGAAAGAATATACTAATCTCTTTGACAATGCTCTAGCTATATACAAAAAAGAAAACAAAATTACACTAACTAATATCACAACCTGCAACACAATCTACATGATTCTTAGAAAGATGCTCATTTTACAATATTTTACCAACATCAACCTAAACCAAATACCCTCTAAACTTATAGTCAGAGCTATCATGTATGCTAGGGGCTTTTTACAAATTAAAGACTCAAGTAACAATATATACAAAGAGATCAAAATACAAATTAACAAGATAATTGAAGACAAGCTCCTTCTCCTACCAGATTTTCCAGATCAGATATCTAAAGAAATCTATGAGATCTTACCCTTTAAGCTTCCAATCACCCAAAAGTCATATACTAGAGCAGTGGTAAATACTCTAAGAAGAGTATTCAAGTTTTCTGAACTTCCAGAGATATACTTTGCCAAGCTTTCTCTATTATATCTACACTACAATAAACTTATACCTAGTCTGCATTAACTATTCTCTATTACTCACCAATCCTCGCTCTAGCATCTTGCAGCATACAAGAGAAAACTAGCAGACTTCTATACTGTAACCCAGATCCCTAACACCTACTTTAACCTACTACCTTTCAAAAAACCTCTTCTTACTACCTGCCAAGAACTTAACTACAGAGTTTACAAATTTTTTCTATTTAATTTAGCCACCTCTACTATTCCACTTACTGATATTATTGCTCAGCTTAGAGAATATTACACTTTTAAATTACTCTCTAATGACTACTTTGTTGCAAAGCCTCCTTTACCAAAAAACACTAGCAAAATCAAGACCAAAACAGTATTTACTTACCCCATAACAGAAGATACAATAGCCAGAGAATTCCTTAGACAAGTTTCCCCTTATTACAGAATCTAATTTTTACTCTTACCAGAAATTATAAAAGCAAACCCTATTGACAAACCTACACTTTCTACAGCTGAAGAAATAACAGCATACTTCAACATCATTCTACCAATTATGAATACACAACAACTCACAGATATAGCCAAACTTCTTCGCAAGTATTACTACTTTACTCAACTCCCTGCCAGCTAGATTAAAATAGAAAACAACCCTTCTATCAGTACTGATACTAACAACACCAACACAACTACCAAAACACTTCCTTCTATTTCTAACAACATTAAAGAAATCATTAAAACCTTCACTAAACATAAGGTTATTGTCTTACTTCCAATTCAACAACAAATGAAGATCATCTTAACTATGAAAAAACTAAGGCAATTCTATATTATTAGGATGATATTTGATACCTTGCTCAAACTCTTACCTCTTTTTACCCTAACTGGAGTATATTCAACAACCCAGCAAAAGCATCATACCCTAACACCCCTAGTACTATTCAATTCTTTGCTAGTTTGATCTCTATTCCAAATAGTATTCTGTCTCTTATACTACTTGCAATAGCCTTCACAGAGAAAAACATCCAAAATACTACCAATATAATATTAACAGATACAAGCAATATTTCCTCATTAGACAAAACATTACCAATAGACACTAATAAACACTTTTATAACTAACTCTTCTCAACTAACCACTAGTAATACACTTTACTCTCTTATACTCTTTATTGGTACACACAATATACAAGGACTTAATACAAACACTAAAAAAGAAACATGAGAAAACTACTGCATACAGCACAACCTTGATATTATTAGTCTAATAGAGACCAAACTCTCTAAAGAAATGGTCTATTATAAGCAGTACAATTCACCACACTACACTTATCATTAATCATGTATTGACAGCTCTCATACCAGAATAGCTATTATAATCTGCAACTACTTATCTCCTTATATTCACAAAATTCTTACAATTCTAGACCATGCTATAGCAATTGATCTTCTTTTTAAAAATAACTTCAAATTCTGCATCATTTCTCTTTATCTGCCAAATAATAATGCATAGCTCAGACTACTAGCACAAAATACAATCATCCAATAGCTATAGCAAGCTATAGCACAAAATATCCTTTCAATCATACTAGAAGACTTTAATATATCTACAGATAATATTCATTCACAATTAATCAAATACAAGCTTCTCCAATATCTAACATACAACAATATATATAACCTGACCTCACATTTTCATAAATTAGCTTCTATATAGCACAGAGCTAGTCTTAGTAGCAAAATTAATTATATTTGAGTCTACCAACCAATTCTCCAATACCTTATTGATTATGATACTGATAATCTCAATTCTAGTACTCTAAGTAATTACAAAATCCTAATCTCTCATTGGCTCTTTCCTTTTGCTATAATTAGACAATCCAGATACAAAACTTGGACTAAGAGAAAAATCTTTAACTACAAATGCATAAACAAAAAAAAATAAAAAAACTTTACCAATCAAGTCAATACTAATCTACAACAATACCATGTACCCTCCTCCACTTCTACCTCAGAAACTCTTAAAACCACTTGGCACAAGATTCAAACCAGCATTATTACCACTACACTTTACCATATACCTAATTAAAAATTTATTGTCTGCAATTTTCATTACACTTTTTTCTTTAAAGCTATACAACTACACCACAGTCTTAAAAAACTTGGCAATATTATAAGACAAGTCAAGCACTTAATCAAAACAAACTGCCAGACTTGTATCCAGCACAACGCTACTATTACCCAACTTGACCAGCTACACGACCTTCAAATATCTACTATTCCTACTACACCCTAGCTTGCTATTAACTAGCTAGTAGCAGCTAACACTGAGTAGAAAAAGCTATACCATGTACGTAATTTGGAAAACATTAAACAAACATGCTAGCAAATCTCAGAAGCAATCTCTAAAAGATGTACAAAGCTCCAATCAAGCCCTATATCCATGCTTAACAATATTCTTAATTAACAAAAAGATCTCAATAATATCAAGTTAAATCAGGCAGTCATTACAAACCTACATTCAATTAAGTTCCACATTCAACAATATTTTAATAACTGGATAGCTCTTTGACCAATTGACCAAAACCTACTCAAGAAATACTAGCAGGCAGAATACAACTCCAAATCATATATCTCACACACCTGGTATACAACAGCACTTGCTAACTTTACTTATGAAGAGATACTTCTTACTCTTAGCTAGCTACCAAACAACAAGGTTTGTGGGCCTTTTGAAGTAAGCTATAAAATATTAAACATGCAGAACCTAACTTTTTACAAGCTATCACAGCACTGCTTAACTGATATCTCTTCTTCTAATCAATTTCTAAACAATAAAAAGAAGAAAAAATTTATCCAATATTCAAAAAACTAATTTTCAATAGCAACTTATTCAATACCAGGCCTATTAGCCTTATTGAGCACATCAAAAAACTCTATACAAAACTCTATACAAAACTTCTTACCAACCATCTAAACAATATTCTATTTAAATATCCAATTTTCTCTCCTTTTAACTATGTAGCACTCCCAAGCAATTTTATCTTAATCCCAATTCACATTCTTAACAATATTATAAAAAATGCTGCATATAGCTTTAATCAACTCTGGATCCTCTTACAAGAAATAAGCAAAGCCTATAACTCTGTCAACTTTGACTTTTTTCAAAAATCTCTTTACAGAATTAAGATGCCCCAACTACTTATTAATATTCTCTCCAATCTCCTCTTTGACCGCACTAACTAAATCATTACCAACTTTGGACTTACTAACTACTATATAGTACAGAATGGTATCAATTAAAGAGAAACTATAATACTATTATTCTGGAAAATATATTATAACCTGCTTATTACAAATATATCACTCAACCTATCTAGCTATACAATACAAACATTATAGCAACCTAGTCTTACCTCTCCCTTCTCGAAATATCTGCTATGTTCAATATCTGTTCCTGCTTATATGGATAATACTCTTTGGTTAGCCCAAACCAAAGAAAATTTTGAAAAGATAATATATACTGTTTCATCCTTCTATAAAATAGCTAATATTCAAATTAATACCTCCAAGTTAGTCTTTATATCAAACCAACCAGCTACAAATATCTCTTTCCTACAAACTAGCCTTGTTTTAATTCTTCTCAATCAGCTATTCAAATTTCTAGAATGCTAGATTATACTAAACAACAAACAATCTAAACAAATTAAACTTATTCAAGAAGAGGCTTTCAATCTTGCATACACAGCCAATACCAAGAAGATAATGAACAAACAAATAATCTATATTATTAATACTGTAATAATTCCCACTATTGAATACAGAATCTACAACATTGATATACTACAATCAACATGCTTAAAAATCTTAGAAAAGTATCTCACAATAGCTAATCACAAGACCAATCTCTTCCAGTTTATGCCCAATAGCATAATACTCAACCACAATATATACAATATTCACAATATCTGAAAAATATAGCTCTAGCACCATACTAACAACTTTCTTTTAAAAATTAACAACAACTCTACTCTTGGAACTACAACTCATATAAGACTTTAGCAACTATAAAATAATCTCTGGTCAATTACTAGCTTACTTTAACATTCTTTGCCTTATATTGATAGATTCAACAAGTACACTACTATCTGCAAACTTATCCAATTGCTTTGACAAGCGGGTATAAGCATAGTAGCAAACCCCAACATAGCCTGGCCACAAACAATTCATAATAGCAACTCATTTCTTGAGCTTATACAATCTAAAGATGCCGATTATAAAACATTCAAACAATAGCTTAGCTTAGCAGACAATAAACACTTGCTAGAATGGCAATATATCTCCTCAAGATTACAACACCTTCTCAAAAGAAAAAAGCTTTTATAGTTTTCTCTTCTAGAAACTATAGTTCTTAATAACTCTAGCTTACAAACTATACTTCCACAATTTTGTTCATCTAATACCAACCCATTTGTATACCAATCTAGTATCATTTCTAAAAAATTAAAGCCATGGCTGCTTACTTTCTACCAAAACCAGATTATTATAGGACAGATAAGGAAAAAGTTCAAACAAACTAACTTAATATCTATTACATACTGACAACATAACATAACTATTTACCATACCCACTTTTACTGATTACATACACCCCATGCTTAGGATGCAACCTTAACTCTAATCGACTTCCTAATTATTGTACTATAAAGGTCTCAAATATTTTGTCCACACAGTTTCTCAGAAGAAAAATATATAATAAATAGCTTAAACTTAATACCAATTATATTGACCTTTTATACTCTATAGCTATCAAATATCCTATCACAATTCCACCTCTACCCAACCTAAATATTATAGACTCTTTAGCTCTTAACCTGTTTTATGATAGTAAAGCAAGTCAACAACTAGTACAATTCACTTTTAGCAACCACAATATACAAATATTTACCTTCTATACTGATAGATCAGTATTAGATATTAGTACTAGCAACTGCTCCATAGGAGTGGGTTGGGTACAAGTTCTTAACAACCAAATTATTAATAGCTTCTCTGCAAAGATTATAGAGTGGTCTTCCTTATACAAAGCTAAACTTATAGCAATTCTATTAGCTATCTCTACTCTGCCTTGGAACACTAGAGTAGATATCTTTACAGACTTCTAATTAATTATTGCTAAATATAATAAACTTCTAAGTACCTCTACCAGGTCTACTAAATACTTCAAGTTCAATTACTGGCCTATCTGACACTCAATTCTTAATGCCATCAAGGCTTTTAATATCCAGATTACCTTTTACAAAGTCTTTGCATATGCAAACAACCACTTCAATAATACTGCAGATTTGTTAGCCAAAAAACACTAACAACAACAAACCTAAACTCTCTATTTCAATTATACCAACTTATATAGCTCTCACTTCACTATTAAATGGCTAGAACACTACATAGAAAAACCCACAAGACAATTCATTAAAACTCTTGGCAAAGCACAAGCCATAGCAATGTGGTCTTCCCAGAGGCATAATACAGAATAGAAAAGCTATGCATCAGCAACTGATTGAAACTCTACCTAATACTTCATCAATAATAACCAAAAAGTTACTACAAATATTACATCTCCCAAACTAAACCAAATAAAAGCTTTCAGAGTCAAAAACCTTCTCAATAACTTACCAACATACTATTACTTTCACCTTATCTTACCCAAAATTTATCATGCCCCTACTTGCTTCTCATACAATAGCCTGGACTCACCTACATACTGGCTTATATGTCAGAACTCCTATACTCTTAAACAGATTATACACATCTCAATTACAAAAACCACTACTAAGCACCTCACGAATCTGCCTTCTAGTCTACACAGAGCTGTTATAGATTTAATCTAATCTCACCCCACATTTAGTTTCTCCCAACACTTCTTCTCTCCACCATACCCACTATTAATTGCTCTAAAAGGACTAATTTCATCTTACTTTTTGCAAACACTATCAACACTTGAAATACACCACAAAGAGACAGTAAACATTATTGTTCAGACCTTACTACTCATCTCTTCTGAGATATACAAACAAATATAGAAGCTATACTGCGACAGATTTGCAAAGTGGAAAAAACAAAAC